AGGGGTAAGGGAACTTGGCTGGAGGTCCTGATCTTGTTCGCATCGTTTTTTTGTGAGCGTCACGCGCCCTGCTTCCATCAAATCAGCGTTCTTGGCAAACTACCAATGTAGTATAATGTGCACTGAATTCACTTTTCGTCACAGCTTTCGCCATCTTGATCATTGTTGTGAGTCGAAGTAGAGAATCCACAAAACTTTACAATGGTCAGAAATTCTGGCGCATGTGGAATCTCTTTCCTCCCCATTTCATCTTAGCTCCTGAGTGAGTGTTAATTGTTGTCCGGTGGTTGATTTCATTCTAATGCATCTCAATACGGGATGTTGTCCTGAATTGCTTTGTTGTCGTGAGATAAACCAAGAAATCATCCTTGTTCAGTTGTGTGAAACTCCTCATGAAGGGCTAAAGAATGCTGAGTTATCTAAACTCCAGCCTCTTGTATGCTTTGATATCTGATCACACCAGTATAATAGTGACCTTTAGCTTGTTACTGAGTTACGAACACTCGTAAAACAAATGTGGGAAATGACGTCATTTACGATTAGTTTACAAATTGTTTTCATTGCTCGGTTCAAAGGAACTCAACCGATGCCAACTGCGTGAATGATAGTAACTTACCGTTCAACTGTTTGGTACATTGACCCGTTTTACCCTGGCTTGTTGCTATTCTAGCAAATGACATGCATTATATAGCTAGCCTGTACTCGTAAGACTCCACCTTGGCTCTTACTCTACTTCGAGATTCGAGAAAATTGACGTTTTGAAGGTTTCAAAACATCTTTGTCACTGTAACCTCCCTCTTTGTTTCAGCGTGGTAGCATTTCTTGGATTGACTGATTCAATGATTGTCATTTGCTTTGTCTCTCCCATTTAGTTTTCTCTGTGTTGTTCTTTGATGTTTTCATTAGCACGAAATGCTTGATTGATTTCCGGAATTAACAATAGAATACGGAGTCTAGAAGGAGTCAACCTCTCGTGGCGTGATTGATGCGTCCGCTAGACAAACATGACCCGTGAAATTTTATTCGGTGGATTATTTTGGGCGCTGCTGATGCAATTAATGAATCAGCACAATTGTTTATAACTGATGTGGATTTGTTCGACGTGATATGAATAAATTAAAGCGGGGAGAGTTGTTTGATAAAGTGGCCACCTCGATAACTTTTACTTTACGCTTAATGGCCTCTTTAGAATTGCTATTGAAAGCTAGAACTGCTGAAAGCTGGAATTTCCGTTTTCTGTCATGCGCGGATGTGAAACGTTTCTTTGCCTTAGTTAAAAGTACCTTTCAGGCCTGTTCATGAGTCAATACATCGAATAAAATGAGACGTTTAGCCCGTAAGCCAATTAAATTGTACAATCTTAGAGAGGAGACGACCTTTAGAAGTTGACTTAAACGTCGAACCTCTCTTTACTAAACTAGTGATATCAACATGTTCCTAAGGCAGCGGGTAACAGCAGGGTCAAAGGAGATCCCGGACGGGGCTTTCGTTAGCCCGGTCGGCAACATAGGCCGTTTTACGAGTTGGTGCCTATGTTTCAAAACGAGGCATGTAATGCTGGCGCGTAGCTTTTCTTGCCACGTGTTTAGTGCTATAAATGTGTTATTAGCTTTTGCAGCCTTATGCTTCACTCACAGGAACAAGGAAAATGAGTGGTTGAATCATTTTGTTACTGTACTGGTTTCGAGTGTCTTATGAAATGTGTTTCTGTAGTTGATAATAGTGTGAATAACTCTGAGACAGCTAAAAGCTAAGCTGGTAACGACAATCCGACATGCACTTGGAATGTGTCACTATATTACGCGTATATTTTTTGTCTTCCTGGTGAAGTTTTGCGAAACTGTTTCTCGTGGATGAACATTGTGGTGTATGTTAGAAATGTAGCAAGATGGAGTAAGCGGGTTCAAGTGGGCCTGCTTTTAACCTTGTTAAACACATCTCGGGGAGTTGGCGGGACATAGAAGATGCTGGACGTCAAGCCAAATATTAGAGTTCTGTTGGTCTCCTTCTTTTTGTTGATTGCTAATACAAAGACTAAGGAATGGTTGGCTTAAGACAGCACAGGAATTGTTTCTATCACTAATTTGCTGATTTTTTCTCTTGTTGACTAAATGGCGAAACTGTTTGTTATGTTTTCTTGTATTCTTATTGCAATGGTTATTGTGCACTTGGTCGATTTTGAACGATTGGAAAGCGTCTACTTGAAAGTAAGTAGCGATGATATACTTCATTGGCTTATGTATAGACTCGTTTTCAGCCCTCATGTATGGTCGTTAGGTAATGAAAAACGTTGGGACGACTCA